CTCTCCAAACAAACGCAGCAAACTCAACTTGATGCCGCTACCATTTCCCAATCCTTTGAACGTCCTCTGAAAATGTGACTTTTTCTCGGCAGTCTAAATTCTGTGAGGCTCATCACGAATGGTTTACGTAGATCTCTGCTCTGAGGCAATATCAGTTAATTTCTGACATTTGCATTTAGAAATAAGGACAGGACAACTGACTTGCTCCTAAAGCTGGGTCCCCAGCTGTGAAAACGGCTTGAGAGAGAGAAACAGAAGCGAAGGGCCAGGGGCCCAGGGGCAGCATCAAGAACTTGCCAGAGGCGATGAGCGGTGTGGCCACACTTCCTTAGCGGCAGAGAGGCTGCATCTTCAGACTCAGACTGCAGGGGCCGCTCGTTCCTCTGAACCCGCAGGAGATGCCCTTCTAATCCCTACAGAGCAGGCATTTCAACATGCTATATTCTTTTTGTTAGGAGATCGCACATGTTAAAATATACCCCCCCCCAGCCATTTTATATCTTACTTCCGGGTTCTTCCCCGACTGAGTCCTTTCTCCTGCCGAAATTGTAAAGCGCGAAACTAGAGCCTCGCCAAGGCGGGAAATTCAAAAGACAACCTGGCTGGCCATAGGATAACAAAGACCGCTCCTCCCAAGGAAGGATCTTCCGCTGCCCACCCTATAAGTATCCCAGCACTTCCTCTTTTCGCTCTCGCTCTCTGCCTTCCTGCCTCCCGCTCGTCTCCCTACAATAAAGATCTCCTGCCGGACCTCTCGGTGCGTGAGTGGCATAATTGGGCAAGGGGCACCCAAAGGGGGCTCGAGACCCCTTTCACTTTTACCTATTTAATTAATAAAATTAGATATTTTTACATGTGTTTTAAGTCATTTGTACTTTTCTTCTATTAACTACTTCTTTTGCTAATTTTGTTTTTCTGATTACTGGTAATAGTTTTTCATTTATTAGATCTTTGTCATATTGCAAATGCTTTCCATGATTATTTGCCTCTGTGTGTTTTGAAACAAGTTTCCTGTTTTAAGGATCCAACTGTGCCTCTCTCTGCCTCTACAATTCATTCTACTGGGTTTATATGGAGCCAGCCCTGGACAATCAGTATTTTCTTCCTGATGTGTGGATTTAAATAGCTGCATGTTGTGTTGGCCTATACTTACCATGTGATAATTTAGTGAACTGCTTATTAAATTGATTTTATATTTATTTGTGATGCTTAATAATATTCCTTTTATCAAAAATTAAATTATCCATAGGACAATTTCAGCTATTTTATTCCATTGCTCTCTTCATGCTCACGTAAATACAGTACTTTAATTATTTTTACATTACAAAACGTTTGGAGTAATTCTGTTTTTATTTGCGGGGCTTTCAAGGGTTTCTCGGCTAATCTTGACTGTTTCTAAATAAACCTTTGAATCATTTCATCGGATTTCCAATTATTAATCTGGGAAAAACCAACATCTCTTCCACATCCGGTCTTCCCCAGCAGGAGCAGCGTGTATTTCTTCCTTTATTTTCACTTTCTCCTACCAGTAAACATGTGACATTCTCTTTCTGTAGTCCCTGTATCTGTCTTGCTAGCGCTATGCCAGGCGTTTTCTACTTCTGGTTACTCTCCTACAGGAAACGTTCTGTCTTTGCTATCCCTATGACTGGGGTGCTGAGTTCTGTAAAACTCCCCTGTTTGCTCAGGGGCCACAAGGCGATGTCACAGCCAGTGACGGCCACACACGGGTCTGCACTGCCCTGCACCCCCCCCGTCACGTCTGCACAACGGGATCGTCTCCCACACACTCCTCAGAGTCCCCGTCCTGTAGGACGGGCCACACCCGGGCAGTCACCGCATTTCTCTGTTAGCACCACACATTTCTCAACGCATTCTTCTGCATTTCCTGGCAGATCATTAGCGGCAAACAACTGCAATGTCTGCCCTTTCCAAAATCAGTCTCATGTTGCACAAATCTGCCTAGGATTTGCAGAGCCAAGTCCAGGCCCCGCTCCGAGGCCACGGTGCGCACCCCAGTTCGACTTGGAAACGCCACCCTTGGCATACCTGCTTTCCTGTTTTGCCAGAGCTACTGGACCTCGATTTTCCTGTGCAAACTTCTATTCACATCCAAAGAATCAGCCGTGCAGAACATACTTCAGATAAATGTGCTTCTTTTTCCAACTTAAAATTCTGATTGTCATGCTACCGTTTGTCACTAGTTTTCTGAAATTCTCAAAACAAGATTCTTGCAGCTGCTGTGGGGGTCAGCCTTGTTCTGCCTGGCTGCCTTGTCATCTCGAAGTGCTGGGCTCCCTTTCTCCTGTGCGGCCTGTTCTTCTCAGACTCCAGGTTCTCCTGCCAGGCTCCTACACCCTGACCGCTCCATGGCACCTTCGCTGGGGTAGCGCCAGGCCCTCAGCTCATCCACTCTCCCACACCTGTCTCCCTCCCAGGCCAGCCTTGCTTGTGGAGTTTCCCATCAGCTTAGGCAACGGGCTGTACAAGCAGAAAAGATCTGCCTGGCTCCGACTTTGGGAGGTTCAAACTCAAGGTCCAGCAGCCCTCTGGCAGGAGGGCAAGTAGGAGCAAGGGGTCACATGCCGGGGCAACAGAGAGCGAGGAGGGTGCCCACAAGCCTTCGGAGAGCACCTTGGAAGCAGGCTGGCTGCTGTCTCCTCCAACAGGCCCCTGAGCCTCTCCCTCCATGGCTTCCTTGCCTGATGTCCCTCCAGCAGTGTCCCCTGCCAACAGGCCAGGTCCTGATTATCCCAGCACAGCAATTTGCACACAGAACCCCTGGAGAAGATGTACCAGCTGGTGAGATCTGTCGTCAGCAAACTGACACCTGGATGAAATGCACAGATTTGCAACAGGAAAATTTCCCACGTTCCAAGGGTAAGTCCCATCACGTCACAGCAGGAGTTTCTCTACACGTTGTTCAATCACGCCGAGCGTCTGATGACTTCTGTGTCTATTTTCAGAAGCGAGACACTCTTGTACTTTGGCAAGGACAGGACACTTTTGGCAGCTTTAGGTGTTGGGTCACACTGACTCTAGGATGAATTTGGAGGATTGCAAAGAGGTCCATGTGTTTCTATGGTGCCGTATGGCTCCTTACAACTAATTCCTTGAATTGTAAGACTACTGGCAAAAACAGATCTGACCATTTAGGGGTAATGTTACGGTAATTTTGCAAATTATAAAGAACCCGAGATCCTGTCTCAGTTTGGAGACTTCAGTGCATTCTACATTGTGTAGGGTCAAACTGGAAAATGTGTATTTTCCTGGGAAATCATCAGTTTCTCCAGGCCTGCAGGTCCCTGCCAGCAATCCTGTCAGATTTTGACTTTCTGCCAGGTTCCTGATGTGACCACACCGCTACCTGTGGTAGGTGAGGGAGAGGAAGTGGCTCTGGGTAGGGGCTGCTCAGCTGTCTGCCGAGGAGGGGCCGATGAGGGGCTGTTTTAAGTGCCCAAGACTGGAAAGGGACAGAATCTCTGGGCCAAATAGGATCCAAGGCTGTGCCAACACTGGGAAGCAATGAAAGCCACGATTTCCACACTCTCCTCTTCAGCAGCATCGGAACGTCCAGTGGGGAACACCCACCATGGAACGGCTGTTCTCTTTCCTCTTTCCCGCCCTACTGTAGGGCCATAACCAGGGGCATTTGAGCTCTTCGGGCTTTCCAGAGTTACCCCCAAATGACCTGCACACAGAGCTTTCCACATGGATCCGACTGTCCTTGGCCTTCTAATTCCTCTCCTGTCACCCTTTACCATCAGATTTGGGGCATTTAGTCAGGGAATATAACCTAATCCTTTTTTGCTGTGGAAAATTCAATGAAATTTTCTTTATAATCGAAATACTACTATAATTTTTTAAGCGTTTCCTGATTCCACCAAAGATGACTGCAGCCTTTTACAGAGCAAGGGAAACAGCTAACAGTTGTGCATTATTCCTTCTGCTGTCCTTGGTGTGTAACCTGTGACAGACCAGAAGGTGTCTGGCACTCCCACGGCTGGGCTCTAACACTCTGCACAAAGATCCAGCCCCGGCTCCTTCCCAGGCTGCCGTCAGTTAATTCTGAGCAGCAGGCTTTACAGGTGCCAAGAGCAGGGGTCTGGGGTTCATCCTGCCACAGGACCCTTCCCTGCTCCTCGCTTGACCTTGTATGAGTGCAGGTGTGCGCAGTTTAATTTTGGTTTGTGGCACTGAAATTCGCTGTTGTTGAGCACAGTGTTTAGGCCTTTCTCAGACGTGATGCATGAGATCTCGTCTCGAGCGGAGTTTCTGTGGGTGCGTGGACTCAGACCACGGGCGCTAAGGGCAGGCGCCTGGGTGAGAAGCCGGCCCCTGAGCAGCTGGGCGCCCTGGCTGTCCTGAGGAGCGGTATCTGCAGGTGGGGACTGTCCAGTGGGTGCCCTGCCCCACCCTGCCCCAGGGCCAGCACACAGATCGGCTCCTCTCTCTCCCAGTCTCTCTGCATGCAGCCCCTTTCTTTCTAGCCCAGGTCACTGTCCCTGCTGGCATTTTACTGAGGGACCCAGATGCTCCTGAGAAAGAGAGTTCCAAGTTCAACAGCAAGAGGAGACGGGGGTGGGGGCAAGGGGCCCCAGAACACAGAAGAGCGAGCGGAAAGGTAGCAGTCATGGGTGGGGCAAGCACCAACCGCTGAGGCCCCCACATTGGTACTGCGATCCTGGAGCCACCGTGCTGCCCGGCTCTGCCAGCTCCCAGAGAGGCGACAGCTTGTGTGCGGCTTCATACAGGACCGGCCAAGCCGGAGCCCGTGTCCCCGGCCACCTCCTGAGTGAGACTCCGCGTCTGCGGCCGGGAGCAGGGCGGCTCCTCTGCCACCTGCCCTCTCAGCCTGGCAGAGACCACGCAGAGGCCCCCTCTTCCCCTCCCTCTGCCCCTGCTGCTCTCCACTGGGCCCAGTCAGGGTGCGGCCCGTGACCTGGAGCTCTGCGCCCGCCCTCGGCCCTCCACCAGCGGAGGCTCAGGGCCTCACTCACCTTCTCGTGGCTCAGCAGGATGATCCGCACCAGCACCACGTTGATGTGGGCCCCCAGAGACTCGTCGTGGTAGATCTCATTGACCTGAAAGACAGCCAGGGAGGCATCAGCAGGAGCCACGCCCGCGTGTCCTCGTCCACTAACTACGAGCGCCTTTATCATCCGGTCACCCCACCCCGAGAGACAGAGGGAGGGAGACAGAGGGACAGAGGCCATGGGCAGCGCCGGGAATGCCCGTCAGGCCCCCACGCGGCTGCCACCAGCTATGAATGTCGGCGCACACACTGCCACCATCAGCCTTCTTGACGGCAGAACACAACTCGGCCATCCGGACTCCAGATCGAAGGCGTTCGGGAGATAAAGCCACACAGGCGCAGACTTTTCTCCTTGTCCTTTCCTAGACAAACAGCTGTCTGAAGGACAGTTCTCCCCACATCGCGAAGGCGGCTCCTTCCATCTCGGCAGCTTGGTTCATACCACTGGCTTCCTCCGCACCTTTCTACTTTATCCTGCTGCGTTTTTGTCCACCTACTTTGGGGACATTTCAGGGCTGGCCCAGAGCCTTGTGCATGCTAAGCATCCACTATCCTTGTGCGTTTTCTCTCTTGTGTGTAAAATCGTTTTTCTGGGCAGGCGTCTGTGGGCTTGTGGCCCTCAGATGTCACAGGCTGCAGCCCCAGAAAAGAGGTTGAGTCCCCAGCTCCGCACAGCAGGCGACCTTCCAGAGCCAGGCCAGCCCCACCCATCACCTGGCAGGGAGGCCGAGCCCCCGGGAGCCACCCCAGCGGCTTCTCATGCTGACTGAGGCGCTGTGGCCCGGGCTTCTCCAGCCTTCCCACCTCACGGAGCTGCTCCAGAATCTGTTTTCCTCTTGCAGGCTCAGCCCCGGGCACAGAAGCGTTATTAACAGATCCATTGGTGTCATCACTGAGCAGACAGCATGGGCCAGCCATGCGACCCCCTCACGTGCAGGCCGAGCCTACAGGCTTCTGACTGGGCACCCGATGCTCTGGGGGCAGACGCAGCCACACTGCACTCCCGGAGCCCTGACACCCAGGCCAGGGCCTGGATGCGCTGCTCCCTGAGGTTTCAAATCTGTATCTGAGCCACTGTAATTGCTACCTGCAGACAGGTAGCAAATCACCCACAGCAGGAAGACACCTCAGGAAATCTGAGAGTTAACAAGGACAATCAAAGCAGACGGAAGAGGAGAGGCACAAGTGGCTGCTGTCATCGTTGCCATGGATAAGACGGCGCCACTCTGGGGCAGAGCTAACAAGCTCATCTGTCCCCAGCGGATGCCGCCACGAGCCCGGCCAGCAGCCCTCCTTCTGAGTGAAACCTTCCCCGCTGTGGGGCAGCATGCAGAGCAGGCGGGCCCCACGCCTCGGAGCCGTGGCCTGCTGGTCCCTGAGCCTGCTGCCCACGGGGTGGACGCTCTTCACTCCATCCACCCTGACCCTGAACTCTCGCCTCAGATTGGGGTGGAGGCGGGAGAAGACAAAACAACCTGGGAGCCAGGAAGGAAGCAAAGAGAAGCTCAGACAGCTGGAGCCCACAAGCTGTGCGAGGCTGGAAAGGTCCAGGTCCACACGGGGTGAGGGTGGAGGCCAGCACGCCCACAAACCCGGAGTGCGGCCCCGCGCCCAGCCCTGTGCAGCAGACGCCAGCTCCCGGGAGCTGGCGGCAGCACCACTGTGTTCAGAGGAGCCCTGGATGCTACCTGCAGGAGTGGAGCATGGCCGGCCTGTGTGACCACTGCAGAAAGAATAAACCCCAAGCCCCACCTGCAGGTCCTCGGCCTCTAGGGCCCCTGCAAGGCCAGTGACCCTGGAAGAACAGGAGCCGCCCCACACCCCTACCAGGAGCTGTCCACCAAGCGGTGCCCCTTCCCCAACTCATCTGAGGGAGGGAGCTTCGGGAGGTAACAAGGGAGCGGTGAGGCCACGGCTGGAGTTGATGCCCTCCTGGGGACGCCAGGGAGCTCTGTCTGTTTCTGTGTCTCTGTCGGTCCAAGTCTCGCTCGCTACCCCTCCCCTCCCTCTCTCTGTCTCTGGCAGCCTTGAGTTTGGCGTTCCCTGACCCAGAACTGGGAGAGGTGAGCTCCCGGGACGAGATACCTGCCTTCAGGATCTTATTTCCCGGCCTAAGACCACCAGGCCGAGCCCCACGCTGGGGCTTACAACAGCTTGGATCCTGACTGCCCAAGTCCCCCATGCTAAAGGCTTGGTCACCTGCCTGTGGTACTGAGGGCAGACGGGACCCAAGGGAGGGAGGGAGGTCATTGAGTGCACTCAGAAGGATCCTCGCTCCGCCCTCCTGCTGACTCCTGGGACTTGGCTCCGCTACGCACTCCCGCCATGGTGTTCAACCTCACCAAGGCCCAAAGCAAAGGGGCCGAGGACCATGGGCTGAAACCTCAGGGACTGCGATCCAGAATCAGCCTGTCCCCTTCGAAGTGTTACCTCAGTTCTCATCCCCGCTATGGAGCTGACTGGCACAGCACTTGACCAGGCCGTTCCTCCGAAAGCTTTCAACAGGAAGAGCCCGAGAGGCTCTCATGGGCCCAGTGACATTTCTCCTTCTGCTTGGGACTGGGCGACATCAGACCAAAGAACTAAATAGAACTTTTGCAGCCGTGAACTTCACTGTGTGAGTGTCAGCCCCGGCCCGGCCGCAGCCTTTTCTGGTTCCTGTAGGGCTCCTCAGCGGGAGCTCAGCCCAGAGCCACTGTGTGCTTCTGGCCAGGTTCTCCTTCCCAGAGCCTGAGGTGGGCACCCAGCAGACCCAGGACACAGCAGTCGGGCCCATGTGTGTGGTTCTGAACCCACACGATGCGAGGAGAGCTCTGAATGAGCACAGAAGTCGAGGGCAGGCCGGGCGTGGTGGCGCACGCCTGTAATCCCAGCCCTCAGGGGGCTGAGGCAGGAGGATCACTGTGAGTTCGAGACCAGTCTGAGTTACATAGTGAGTTCCAGGTCAGTCTCAACTAGTGAGACCCTGTCTCAAAAAACCAAAAAAAAGAAAAAAAGTCAAGGGTACATCAGAGCGGCATCTACCCATGGGACTCAGGCTCCTACATGCGTGGTCTGGAACAAGAGAGGAGAGAGGAGGGTGCGGTGGCTCAGCAAGCAGGGGGCGCTCCTGGCAGAGGGCGCACCATGCACACACATCCTGGGGCCAGAAGCAGTGAGGCACATTCCGGGTACAGACAGGCTGGGGCAGGGAGGGTCCCAGAAGAGGAGACGGCAGAGGGCAGCTGACACTGGACTGTGCAGGACAGGAGAAAGATTCCAAACGTGTGCAAAGGGCCATCGGAGAAGGGGTCCTGGTGGAGGGATGACTCTGCATTTTGCAACATGCACACACATGCTTTGTGGGAAGCAGAATGAAGGGATGGGAATGTGGGGGTTCAGAGGCCAGGGTGCGTGGAGAGAAGGAGCAAACAGGAGGATGTGATGCAAAATGGGTGAGGGCACCGCCGCCTCCTGCTCCCTGGGACACTGCAGGGCCCACTGAGCACTTTCATTTTTGCCGAGAAATGCAATTCATCCATCTTTGCTGGGCATGAAGTCGGGAGAGAAATCCTCAGGGGACCCAGCCCACGGCAGTGTGAGCCAATGGCCACACCACTGCCATCCTCTGCAGGACCAGGACCCTGGCCTGGGACTGGGGATGCAGACCCATCTTACCGGAAGAGGGGAGAGGGGCTTTGGGTCCTTCCTGACACAGCAGGTCGGACCTGCTGCCTCAACCACAACTGAGGGGAACAGACACCCCAGAAACCCCTGCTTAGCCCAGGCCCCACGCACAAAGGGCACTTTCAGGCCCACACCCTGCTGGACCCTTGGGTGTCGGGGAGCTAACCGTGGCCCCAGGGCTGGGCGTGCTGGCCTCTGGAAGCTCGGCCGTGCCAGAGAACCCTGGGCCCCGCTGGGCAGGCCAGGTGGCTCCCATTCGACAGCCAGGGGGTCAGGCGGGCTCAAGCCTCTCCATGGGGCCCCTCTCCCCGGAAGGCCTGTTCTTCCACTCAGGTGCAGCCACTTGGAGACCCCTGACTGGTCAGCTATGGAGTTGACATGGCAGAGCCCAAACTGCAAGCGGGGACCGGACCCCATGTTTGAATGTGTCAAGAACAGAGCTGGCTGGAACGCAGAGTTTGTAGGGTGTGAGACAGGCGGAGTTCCCACAGGGCCCCATCCTCCCCTGGCCTAAAGGGTGGGCCCTGTGCCGTCCCCACACACCCGGGGCTTCACCCACTTTTCAGGGCAGTGAAACAGCCACAGCACCCAGAATCTGGAGCCTCCACCCCCGCAGGCTGCTGGGTACAGCTGGGAAGTCAGAGCTCCGGTACCAACCCGGGCCAGAGGACTGCAGGGCAAGGGGACACCGGGATGTTAGTAAACTCCCGGGGAGATGCTCACGTCATCAGTGGGGACACAGCACAGATGCGTTTCTGCCTAGGACAGAGCTCATAGGTGGGGCACAGAGAGCAGCAAAAGACAGAAGGCAGACTGCAGACCTCAGACACCTCCCTCCTCTCCTGACCCTCCTGCTTTGTTCCCCAGGGGCGGCAGATGGCAGGGGCTCCCCAGGGACTTCCAGCCTCAGGCCCCTTCCCTCCCCAATGTCATTCTTCACCACAGCCACCGGGTAGAGCAGATCTGACCTCTTCCGTCTTCTGTCTAAAGCCTTCAATGGCTCCTCAGTGCCCCCGGGCTGGCATTCAGGGTCCTCCCTCTCAGTGGCCCTGGTGGCTCCTCCTGTTGCACTCCCGCCCTCTCCTCCACGGAATCCTCAGCCCTGACAGTGAGGTAGGCCTCCCTGCAAAGCCTGGCTGCCCTTTCCTGCTGCCCGCGCAGTGACTCATGCCTGGAATTCCCACATTCCTGCTCCAGCCCAGAATTCTTTAGATACCAGAAGAGCACGTGGGGGAAAAAAGGTCATAGTAACAAATATGTTTCAGAGGAGAGAAGGTCTTTACTCCCCTGGCTCAAACGCTCCCCACCCCAAGGACTTCTGGCTGCACTTGGAGTAACGCTAGAGCACCCTGGCCTGACCTCCAGGCCAGCAGCACCGCTGCG